CAGTGTCCACCAGTGTATCTACATCAACTTCGACTAGTGTGAGTACACCAACAACGTCGGTTTCCACTACAGTATCAAGTGCAAGTACAAGTACCTCAACATCACTGACGACTAGTATGTCTACATCCACCACAACTAGTGTGAGTACACCAACAACATCAGTTTCCACTACATTGTCAAGTGCTAGCACAAGTACTTCAACATCAGCGTCAACTAGTGTGTCTACCTCAACCTCTGCCTCAACATCAACTAGTGTTTCGACTTCTGTTAGCACAAGCACTTCTACGTCAACATCGGCAAGTGTAAGTACACCAACTACAACAGTTTTCTCGACATACTCAAGTGCCAGCACAAGTACTTCAACATCAGTGTCCACAAGTGTCTCTAGATCAACGTCGACTAGTGTGAGTACACCAACAACGTCAGTGTCCACGACATTGTCAAGTGCTAGCACAAGTACTTCAACATCAGTGTCGACCAGTGTATCCACGTCAACTTCGGCTAGTGTGAGTACACAAACAACGTCATTGTCTACGACATTGTCAAGTGCCAGCACAAGTACTTTAACATCAGTGTCGACTAGTGTATCGACATCCACCTTGACAAGTGTGAGTACACCAACAACATCAGTTTCCACTACGTTGTCAAGTGCCAGCTCCAGTACTTCAACATCTGTTTCAACTAGGTTGTCTACCTCAAAGTCAGCAAGTAAGTCGAAATCAACTTCAACCTCTGCTTCAACATCAATTAGTGCTTCAACGTCCCTTAGCACAAGCACCTCAACATCAAAATCGGCAAGTTTTAGCACACCAACAACGACAGTTTTTTCGACATACTCAAGTACGACCACGAGTTCTTCAACATCAGTATCCACTAGTGTATCTACATCAACGTCAACAAGTGTAAGTACACCAACAACATCGGTGTCAAAGACCTTGTCAAGTGCAAGCACGAGTACTTCGACATCAGTGTCGACGAGTGTGTCTTCTTCCACCTCAACTAGTGTAAGTACGCCAACAACGTCAGTTTCCACTACATTGTCAAGTACTAGCACAAGTACTTCAACATCAGTATCCACCAGCGTGTCCACATCAACATCAACAAGTGTGAGCACACCTACAACGTCAGTTTCTACTACTTTGTCGAGTGCCAGCGCAAGTACATCAACATCAGTATCCACCAGTGTGTCGAGATCACTGAGCACTAGCACGTCCACGTCGCCTTCGGCATCCACTAGGTATTTTATTGGAAACTTTTTATGTGGTGTGTTGTTGTAAAAGGATGAACCGTTTTTTTTTTGTGCCCTTCGGATACTTTTATAGAAACTTGTTAGGGATTTTGGTCAAGTATTGAATGCAACATATTACGAGGAAATCCTTGTCCCCGGAAATTATCTTGGCGTCATTAAGCTACAAAAAAGAGGAGTGGGGGTAATTTCCGACACTAATAACCAGGCGTCTAGTGTTACGCTTTTTAACAGAGCACTATCCTTGTCTCAGGAAATTATCTTTGACAAAAAAGTGATCATGAGATTTGTTTGTTAATGTTTATATTACGAGATGGGTTTCTTAAATATTAAAATTTTGTTTTGTACGTTTGTGGTCATAAGAGCTTGAGCTCTTGTTGCGCTAATTTAAACGCAGTGTTTGCTCACAATTCTTGATATGTAATGATTAAATGGTTTTTTTCATCAGTTTGAGAGGCTGAGCGTGTTTGTATTGTGTTTGTGCAAATAAGGCCTTGTGTAATTAAATTCCTATTCTTTATTATTTTCAGTGTTTCAACTTCAATCTCGATTAGTACGAGCTTGACCTCTACCAGCACAAGGTTAGTTTATGAAGGTTTGGGAAGAATGAGAGGTGCTTACGATCCTTCAAATTGCTGTTATTAGCAATTCAAGTCGGCAAAATTTAAAAATATGGTATATATCTTTCAGCGTTTCTACCTCACGGTCCACTACAGTGTCAGCGTCGTCATATCAACCCGTTTCTGAGAAGACTGCAGTCACTTTTTTCCCGTCGTCTGCGTACAGTCGGTCCTCTAATGTACAGTATTCAATACCTACATCGAGTAGGAAGCCGCCGAGTTTAAAACCTCCGACGAGATCCTCTACATCAATTGTCTCATCTTCCAGGTAATTAGATTAAGAAGTGGAATTTTTTTAAAGAGATTGAAGACAAGTGAAAACACGCAACAAAAGTTTTGTTTTTACTAAACTTCTTCGGGATTAAAATTAGAAAAATGTCTCTTTGCATGTGTCATAGACCCTTTTCTTTAGTCAAGTGAATTCTACAAAGACAGATCACGGTTTTTTTGATAAAGAAGGAGAATCAGATGGCATGGGAGGAATCAAAACTAGGGTGGAATGTTTTAAGTATACCAATATAATGGTACTTCAGAGCTTACGATTGGTCAGGTTACAAAAGCTGCATAAGATTACTTCTCTCAAGACATCCCAGAGAAAAAACCCGCAATTGATATGTATTAACTTCAATCATGCATCTCAATTTCCTTTTAAATTAATTTTGTTAACTCAAGCACGTCTCCATCAACATCAAAATCAACATCTTTGAGTTCAAGTAAGTCAACAAGTGTGACGACATCAGCGAGTAGCAGTACATCAACCTCAACCTCAAAGAGTGTTAGCACACCAACAACCACAGTTTTCTCGACGTATTCCAGTGCCAGCACAAGTACCTCAACATCAGTGTCCACCAGTGTATCGACTTCAACCTCAACTAGTGTAAGCAGTCCAACCACATCGGTTTCCACGACATATTCAAGTGGCAGCAAAAGTTATTCAACTTCAGTATCCACCTCTGTGTCAACTTCAACGTCAACTAGCTTATCGAAATCACGTAGCACAAGTACATCTACATCAAAATCGACATCAACTAGTGTCAGTAC